CAATACAACTTTATTTACAAAAACAGACAGCTAGTGGGATTTGGCTGCAGTTTCCCAAGTCCTCCTCCTGACTATTAATAACACTTTTAAAAATTCAGAGAGGAAAGTAGCTGAAGAAGAAAAATAAAACAATTCATAATGAGTTTTGGCTAAAGTAAAAGTTGTACTAAAACTCTGAAATATATTTAGAAAAACTGCAATACAGCTAATAATTTTATATAATTATACGCAGTGTTGCACTATCTTAGTTACCATAAATGTCGATCACTTTTGATGACTTACAAAATGAAATAATGTATATGAATATATACAATATTCCTTTTAAAATTACCTATGGAGGGACCAGCAGATGGTGTAATGGTTATTTCACTGAACTCCCACACAGATGACTAGTTTGAGTGTCGGACCTGGTGACTTCAAATTCATGTGCGCACTCAAAAATCCCAAGAGGAGGGAACAGCAGTTGACATAATGGCTATGTCGCTGGACTCCCACGTAGTTGACTATGGTTCAAGTTCTAGACCCAGTGGCTTAAACTCACGCCAGGTGTGTGAGCATGCATGCCCAAGATCCCAAGAGGAGAATGGAGGAGAAGGGACTGCAGCGTGGCCATTCCCCCTGGGGGTGACTTCTCACTTTCTGTCTCTGTCTTTGCAAAGAGCGCACGCGCCCTATAGCAAAAACCTCTAAAAAAAAAAAAAAAAAAAAAAACCAAGGGGAGGAGTGGAGGAGAAGGGACTTTGGTGTGCTCATCTCCCCTGGGGGTCGATTTATTGCTTCCTGTCTCTCTGGTGTGAGCATATGTGCCCTATAGCAAAAATCTCTCTTAAAAAAAATACATATAAATTCCTCTCTTATTGCCATAATTAAGAACTTCATTGTTGTCCTGCCTATAAACTCAGAGAAGACTTGAATTGGCAACGTAGCTTTGTGTCCTTTGCAAAGTTTCCTTTTTTTGTTAAAGAATTATTTTATTTAACTTTATTTATTTATTTATTTTAATTTGAGTAGAGCAGGGCAGAGAGAGGGAGAGAATAAGCTGCCAGGTCTGGGACTTTATATATATATATATATATATATGTGTGTGTGTATGTATAAAAAGAAAAACAGGTACTTAAGTGAGAGAAAACATTATAAAACAGGTACTTAAGTGAGAGAAAACATTATAATGTTTTTTTACTGATAAAATTAAATCAAAATTACAAATATATTATAGTATAGATTAACATACCAGCAAGTTATCAAATATACTATGTATAATATAATAAATACCAATAATTGAATACATTTTTTATAATACAGGTATACTGGTAAGAATGGGATTTTGGGGCCAAATCCTGGCTCAATCTAAAGGTTGAAAGCAGGGGCATGCTCCTATAATCCTGGAACTTGGGAGGCTGAGGCAGGAGGATCCTGACACAGAGATACTGACTTTAAACCAAACAAAGCAAAACAAAAATAAAATTTTGGAAAAGAGTGTAGATAAAAATTCACTTAGCTGGACTTCAAAGTAGGTACTCCCTTTCAATAAATGGATTGTTAATATATGTTTGTTAAAAAGTAGACTGAGGTTTGAGTCCTGGACCTGGTAGCTTGAAACTCATGCCAGGTACATGTGTATGCATGCCTAAATTCCCGAGAGGAGAATAAAGGAGAAGAAGTTGCTGCGTGGCCATCTCCCAGGGGGTGATTTCTCACTTTCTGTCTCTCTATTTCTGTCTTTCTGGCGAGCACACAAGCCCTACAGCAAAAATCTCTCAAAAAAAAAAAAAAGAGTATAATGGGGCCACCCTCTGGCATAGTGGTTAAGGTGGCTGGTTCCCAGAGGGCCAACCATGCAGTTCGAGTCCCAGACCTGGAGGCTTGAGAAACATACCAGGCACATGTATATGCATGCCCAAAATTGTTGAGAGAGAAATGGAGAAGAGATTGCAATGTGACCACTACCCATGGCAGCTGCTTCTCTCTTTCCCCCTCACTATGGCAAGTACTCATGCTCCCTGAAAAAAAAAAAGTAGTCAAATGCACAAAAAGTAATGATCTCCTTCAACGCACAAAAAATTGTATTCACGAGCACACACCTTGCAGACTAAAGTGGACTACAGAAAACAAAAACATAATACCGCCTTTGTCCCTGACAGACATGCGTGAACAGACGCTTCCCATGCTGAGCACATCGTGATTTGTCTTCCTGGTTCATATACAGTCATCTATTTTTTTAGGGTTTGGTAGGGCGCATGTGCTCACCAAAGAGAGTCAGAGACAGACAGAGAGAAGGAAAGTGAGAAATCGTCTCATAGGGTGGAAAACCATGCCACAATCCCTCCTCCTCCATTTTCCTCATGGAATTTTGGACATGCACACACATGTGCCCGGTGTGATTTTCAAACCACTGGGTCTGGGACTTGAACCACAGCCAGCCATGTGAATGTCCAGCAACTTAACTACCATGCCACCTGCTGGCCCAAAGAATGATCTATTTTACCTTTAAAATTTAGACATGTTGGGACCTACGTAGATAGCATAATGGTTATGTCACTGGACTCCCACAAGGCCAAACACAGTTTGAGTCCCAGACCTGGTGACTGGGTGCATCCTGAGAGGAGAATGGACATGGCCATCTCCCCAGAGGGTGGTTTCTGGCTTTCTGTATTTGTGTCTCACTGGCAAGCACAAGTACCCTATTGAAACAAACAAACAAACAAAACTAAACAACTCTCTTACAAAAAAGAAAAAAAAAATGTAAAGATGTCATTCCAGGAAAATCTCTGTTAAGGTAGGATTTTGTATGGCATGTTAGCTATTAACTACGTCACCTTCATAAAACTGTACCTCTATATAACCTAATAATTAGGTAACAATATAAGCTTCAATACCACTCTATCTTCACTATTATATTACCTTCAATATATTGGGTCATCAGGAAAGTTAAATGATTTGTTTTTCTATGTAAAAATGCATCATGACTTTTCCAACATCCCAATACAAAAATCCTCAATAATAAATTAACAACACAAATCTAGGAAGACACATGAAAGATTATGCGCCATATGCAAGTAGGATTTATAGCAAGATTGCAAAGTGATTTCAACATATGAAAATCAGTGCAACATACCATACTAACAGAGGACAAAGCCCATACAACTAAAGGGAAAATAATCTAAATAGCAGGAGAAAAAAAAATGTAAGACAAAGTCCACTTTTCCTTCATGATAAAAATACTCAAGAAGGGGGACCAGCAAGTGGCATGGTGGTTAAGGTGCTGAACACCCCCATGGCTGACCACAGTTCAAGTCTCGGACCTGGTGGCTTGCTTTCTCACATTCTCTCTCTCACTTGCCAAATTAAAATAGATCAATAAGTAAATAAAATAAAATAAATAATTCTAAAAATAATAATAAAATTTAAAAATACTCAACAAGGATCCAGCAGGTGGTGTAGATGGCCAACCATGGTTCGAGTACCAGATCCTGTGGCTTGAAACTCATACCACACACATATGCACAAATGCTCAAGATCCCAGGAGGAGAATGGAGAAGAGACTGTTGCATTGCCATTAACCCAGGGGGTGCTTTCTCATTTTCCCTCTCTCTGTCTCTCTGGCTACTGCACAAGCCCTATGGCAAAAACCTGAAACGAAACAAAAACAACTGGCCAGCAGATGACATAAAGGTTAAGGCAACTGGATCTCACACGGCCAGCTACATGGTCCAAATCCTGGACCCAGTAGCCTAAAAATCACGTTTGTGTGAGTGTTCAAAATTCTGAGAGGAGAATAGAGGAGGAGAAAGGATTGCAGCATGGCCATCCTCTCTGGGAATGTCTCTCATTGATGAACACATGCTCTATAACAAAACTACAAAAACAAACAAAATAAACAAACAAAAACTACGAATAGAAGGGGCATCAATCTCACAGAATACGCAAAACTGGACTCAAGATGAATTATAGATTTAAATGTAAGAGCTAAAACTAAAATTCATAGGACAAAATATAGGACGAGGGTCGGCTCTGAAGATATGCTTCTGAAGAAAACCAGATGCCAAATGGTAACGATGGTCAATTCCCTGGACTAGTCAGCCTGAAACACACTGAGCATACACGTGAGTGCCCAGGATCCAGCAAATAAAAGGAAGGGGATGACGGCTTGACCAGACATTGTGGAGGGTGCTTTCTCTCTCGCTCGCTCCCAATCTGAACTATGTGCTCACACACCTTATCTTGAATTTAAAATATACATACACACACACAACAAAGACTAAATCTTTGCAATGTGGAGTTAACCAAGAGTTTCTTACGTAAGACACCAAAGAACAAGTCAGATAAAAAGAAAACAAGGAAATAAACAGTTAAATTGAACTTCAGAGAATTTTTAAACTTTTACACATCAAAAGAGACTATCAAGGAAGGGGCCAGCATGGAGGACAAGGCAGCGGGAGCCCATATGGCTGAGTAAGCAGTTTCAGTCCCAGACCTGGTGTCCTAAAAATCATGCTATAAGAGCCAGCAGGTGGCAAGGTGGTTAAGGCGCTGGACTCCCACATGTTGACCAAGTTCAGGTCTGGGACCCGGAGGCTTAAATACCACACACGGTGCATGCACATGCGTGCCCAAAATCCCAGGAGAAAATGGAGTAGGAATTGAGGTGTGGCCATTCCACCCCCCCTCCCCAGGGGGGTGATTTCTCACTTTCCCTGTGTCTCTCTCCTCTCCAGACAGCACATGTATCCTATAGAAAACAAACTTAAAATAAAGTGTATACCCTTGGCAATTAATTCCTGATTACATTCTCCAGGTTGACATCATTCTAGTAGTGAAATAAAAGAGAGAGAGAATTATATTTACAGTAATAATGTTCTATCACTTTTAGTAAATTATTTTAAAAGATAGACATTTTATGAAATACAACATAGATTTGTGTAATATTTCACTACGAGAATGTTCATTCACGAGATAGAGTAGCAGTTCAGTAACAAAGACAGTGGTTTACCAATAGTTACCTTGATCAAATATTTTTCCCATCTGTCTGCTGTGACAGATTTGCCAATCTTCCTCATCAACTTCAAATGGAGTTCCACCAATTCTTTTGGTACTTGAAAGAAAGAAAAAAGAAATACTGTTAGTCAACTTAAAACACTTATAAACACTTAAGATGATTTTAAAAAAAACCTTTCCCTTAAACACTCTTACAAAATAGATGATGTTAATTCTAGCTATCTTTTGGACCTCTAAATCAGAAAAGCCCAAACTATAGAAATGACTAACAACGCCTTTCTTTATTTCTTTTTTGTTGAATAGTCAGAGGGCACCCCCAGCGGGGCATGGTTACACTCTCTTCTCCTGTACTTCTGTTGGTATTTTAAGCATGCATGCACAGGTGCTTAGGAGGTTGTTTTTTTTTTTTGGGGGTTTTTTTTTTTTTTTGGAGAGGTTTTTGCTATAGGGCGCGTGCACTCTCTAGAAAGACAGAGACAGAGCGACAGAAAATGAGAAATCCCCCTACCCAGGGGGGATGGCCACGCCACAATCCCTTCTCCTCTCAGGATCTTGGGCACGCACACAGCACGCATACGTGCCCGATATGAGTTTAAGCCACCGGGTCTAGGACTCAAACCACGGTTAGCTACATGGGAGTCCAGCGACATAGCCATTACGCTAACTGCTGGTTCCCTTAACAGGGTTCTTCAATTTTCTGGGGCTAGGAGGACAGCAGGTGACATGGCGGTTGTGTTTTTTTCTGCTATAGGGCGTGTGCGCTCGCCAGACAGACAGAGAGAGACATAGAGACAGAAAGCGAGAAATCACCCCCCAGGGGGATGGTCACGCCACAATCCCTTCTCCATTCTCCTCTCGGGATCTTGGGCATGCACCACACGCGCCCGGTGTGAGTTCTAAGCCACCGGGTCGGGGACATGAACTGCAGTCAACTACATGGGAGTCCAGCAACATAGCCATTACGCTAACTGCTGGTTCCCTTCAGCAGGTTCTTCAAGCTACCAGAGCTGGGATTAGAATTGTAAACTTGGCCTTTCTTTTTTTTTTTTTCCTAGTTTTGCTAAAAGATAGATATGCTCACCAGAGAGACAGAAAGGGAAAGTGAGAAATACACTCACCAGGGGGCTGACAGGCCACAATCTCTTCTTCATTCTCTTGTGATTTTGGGGATGCATGCACACACATCTGGCATGCTTTTCAACCACCTGGTATAGGACTTAACCCATGCAACTGGCCTTAGGGGATCCAGCTGCCTTTACCACTACACCACCAGCTGACCTACCCTACTACTTTCTTAAAATGAGCAGGAATATTCGTATTTTCTTATCAAATACCATCAAGAGTGAAACCTTGATTCAGATGAAGGGCATTTCCCTTCATCTGAATGTTCCCAACATCAACAATGGGCTCTGGGTGATGATGACATGTACTGTTAGATGTAATAAGTTTACAGATTACATCGAATGTACAGACAGTACAGGATAGCGAGAGTAGGGAAGACAGTCAATGTGTGGGAGAAGGAGGCTATGTGGTGGAGTCTACAAAAAGTTCATGGAAAATAAGTATTACGGAAAAACTATGAACAGATTTTGATACAGAAAATTTTTCTGTATCAAAAATAAATGCATACTAAAAATGAGAATTAATAATAACAATATGAAAAAAATAAAAGCTATTTGATGATAGGAGTGTGGATAGTAATGTCTTTGTCTTGACTGATATGCATGGTAATGGTGCTGGATAAAGAAATGTTATACAATGTAAAGATATGTGTGATTAAATGTAATATGAAAGATTTAGAATTAATTAATTTAAAAAGAAAAAAGTATTAATATTCAAAGATGTTAGTTCTGGTGGGAAATACAGTTTAATAGAGATAGTAAAACATGCTCACAATATTCTTTGACAAATATGATTTCTGCAAAAGAATTATGTATAAGGACAAGTAGAAATAATGTGGGAAGAGCCAGGTGGAAACATGTCCTGGCTTGAAGAAGAAGAAGAAAGAAGAAGAAAGAAGAAGAAAGAAGAAAGAAGAAGAAAGAAGAAAGAAGAAAGAAGAAAGAAGAAAGAAGAAAGAAGAAAGAAGAAAGAAGAAAGAAGAAAGAAGAAAGAAGAAAGAAGAAAGAAGAAAGAAGAAAGAAGAAAGAAGAAAGAAGAAAAGAAAAAAGAAGAAAGAAGAAGAGGAAGAAGAGAATAAAAAGAAGGGGAAAAAAAAAGAATAAAAAGATGGAAAAAAAAAAAGCATATTGTGGCCAGCAGGTGGCACAGTGGCTATAGCCACACAGTTACATGGTCAATGGCAGTTCAAGTCCTGTACCTGGAGGCTTGAAAATCACTATAAGTGAGTGTATGTGCACACACCCAAAATCCAGGAGGAGAATGGAGAAGAAGGGATTGTGGAGTGGTGGGGGGAGGGAGAGAGGAGTGATTTCTCACTTTCCCTATCATTGTGTCTATGTTTCTCTCTCGGGGAAATGTGCATGTCCTGTGGCTAAATCCTTATAATTAAAACAATAAACGCATACTATCTTGTTATAACATGTCTGAACAGATGTAGTCTAAGTCACTAAGAAGGATAAGACATCAGTTTGAAAACTGTCCCTACTGGGTAGCAGGTGGTATAGTGGTTAAGGTGCTGAACATGGCCAACCCTGGTTCAAGTCTCGGATCCAGCGGCTTGAAATTCAAGCTAGGAATGTGTGCGTTCATGTCCAAAATCCCAGGAGATGGGATTATAGCGTGGCATCTCCCCTGTGGGTGAGTTCTGTCATTCTCACTGTCTCTGTCTCTCTAGCCAGCACATGCACCTTGTGGCAAAAGTCTTTCCAGCAAGATGGTTTCTGCTAAAACTGAAGCAAGAACATCAAATTTATAATGAAAACTGGCTGGAAGAATATTTAAATTACTGACGTTTTTTGAAAAGTTTATGGAGACAACATCCCCCAAAAAACCAGCAGTTCAGGGCCAGGTGGTAGTCTAGAGGTTAAAATGGCTGGACCCCACATGGCCAGCTGTATGGCTTAGTCCTGAGCACAGTGGCATGAGAAAGCCACTGGGCATGTGTGTGTGTGCACAGCAAATGTCCAGAAAGGAAAAATGGAAGAGAAAGAACTGTGACCAGGTTCCACAGGAAGAGGGTGATTTTTTACTCTCTTCTCTCTGTCTCTGGCAAGTGAATGTACACTACAGCAAATTTTAAAAAGAAATTAACAGTTCACAAATGGATTGTTTTAAGAAGGGATGAGATGCTGAAGATGATGCCAGTAGCAACAGATAATTCAAGTCAAATTCTAAGGAAAAATTTGATCTTGCTTGTGCCCTAATTAAGAGGACCAATCATTAAGAGCAGAAACAGCCAACACCACAGACATCACCATTCACTTAGCTTACACAACTCTGACTGAAAAATTAAAGTTGAGCAAACTTTCTGCTGATGAGTGCCGCAGGACTTCTGGAAATTACTGATTACCCTTATGGACACTGGGACTATTTAAGGTAGGAATATAACCAGCAGCATTCTCTAATATATTGACCTATTATCTTTTTTTTTTTTTTAGAGGTTTTTGCTATAGGGCGCATGCGCTCGCCAGACATAGAGAGACAGCAAGATAGAAAGAGAGAAATCACCCCCCAGGGTGGATGGCCACGCCGCAATCCCTTTTCCTCCATTCTCCTCTCAGGATCTTGGGCACGCACACACACGTGCCCGGCATGAGTTTAAGCCACTGGGTCCGGGACTCGAACCACGGTCCACTACGTGGGAGTCCAGCGACATAGCCATTACGCCAACTGCTGGTCCTCTGACCTATTATCTTATAGGATAAACTCTGAGGAACAGGTTCAGCAATGATGGCTCTTTTTAATCATTTGTTTCGACTTTTTACTCTCCACTACAGCTACTTCTAACTTTAAAAACAACCTTTGATAGAAAACATTCACCCATTAAACAAATCTCTGTGAGTCTAGTAGTCCCTGCTCCTAATGAGCCTAAATGAGTTGGGGGCGGTTGGGAGGAGTGGACACTGACAAGTAAACAGACGATTATGCTAAGACTTGAAGTTAGGGGTTGAGGGTAGATTAGAAAAAAGGGACAGGGTAGTTCCACGGTCTGCTGGTTAAGGGAGTTGTATCCCATTTGGAAGCCTGGAAAACATGTCACACACATGTGAGTGCATGCACACACATAGAGGGGAGGGGACTGTGGCAAGACCACGCCCCACTGTGGGTACTTCATCACTCCCCTTTCCTTCTCTTTCTCTCTGCTATGCCCATACACCCTCTGGGAATTTTTTTTTTTTTTTTTTTTTTTTTTTAAAGAAAGGGAAAGGAAATAGAAAGGGAGAGAAAAGGAAGGGAAAGACATTGCTTGAAGAAAAAACAGCAATTGCAGATGGCTAAACCAAAATGATTGCAAGGGCCAGCAGGTGGCATGGTAGTTAAAGAGCTAGACTCCTACATGGGCAATTGCAGTTCAAGTCCTGGACCTGGTGGCTTGCTTTCTCACTTTCTCTGATGAGAGTACGTGCCCTGTAGCAAATTAAAAAATGATAATAATGAATAAGTAAAATTAAATAAATAATTGTTTTTAAAAAATTATCGCAAAACTGAAGGCATGGACATAGGAAAGGGGCAGGATTGTGAAGACCACTGTAAAGTCAGGCTAAGAACTTACAGATTTTAATTAAAAGTTTAAGAAAGTGAATGATTTGCATTTTAGAAAGGTCTAGATAACTGAATTCAAGGAAGACCGATTTTTAAATTAAAAAAGCTTTTGTGTGTTTTAGGATACAGGTCAAAGGTTAGGTGTAAGCTCACAAAAACATCAATCCAAAAAGACGGCAGTAGCTTGAAATAAGGCACAGGTGGTACAGAAAGAAATGAAGAGATCTGAGAAATGTTTTTGAAACAAAGAACAAAACTTAGGCACTGTTTGTTCAGTGATAGTTGAGAAAACCTGAGGAACAATTAACTGAGTACGTAGATGCCAATGATAAAAGCAGGAGGAAGAAAAACCCAGACTCAATTCTCAACCCCACCACTTACACAGGCCATGATTTTAGATAAGTCCTTTAAACCGTGAACCTCAATTTC